AGATTAAATGACTAAAAAATATAATAGTTATAATAGGTTTAACAAGAATTAAAAGATTTATAAGAAAAATAATGCAAGTTAAATTAAGAATTAGGACTATGTAAAAATAGCAATTCTTAATTAAGAAATAAGTAATTAAAAAATTTATATTTATTTAATAATACATTTTTTTAAAAGGCTTTAAGTAGCTTTATAATATAATGAATTATATGATAATGATATAAAATAAGCCTAAATACAAAAAAATTTATTAGACAATTAGATTATTTAGATAAATTAATAATTAATAGATAAAGAAAAAGATATAAATGAACTAAAAAATAAGTATGATTTTATATTCTTAAATTGATTTATTATTATAAATATTATATTAGTTTAAATAATATTATTATTGATAAAGATTCAATAATAAATGATTTATAAATTAATTAATAATAAAATTAAAAAAAATTTGATTAAGAATTAAAAAAATTACAATGTATCATAAAAGAAAAAGAAGATGAAATTTAATAAATAAAAAAAGAGTAAAAATATAATTACAAATTTATATATAAATAAATAATATATATATATATAAATATATAAATATATAAATATATAAATATATAAATATATATATATATATATTCATAATATATTTTTTTTTTATTATTATAATATATAATAAAGATATTAAGATAATAAAAAATAAAAATCTAAATAATTAGAAGAATTAAATAATAATTTTTTATTATAAAAAAACAAACAGATAATGAAATATAATAATTAAAAACTAAAAATATTTAATTACAAAGCGATTTATTTAAATAATAAAAGGAGTAAATTTATTATAAATATTAAACACAATTTTTATCTATTTAAAATTTAAATAATAAAAGATTAGATGAATAGAAAGCTTTAAAGCAACAATAATTTCACTAATTCTAAACATAAATAGACGATATCTAATAATAATATGAAAATTAAATATAATAACTACGCAAATATTAATAATAAATAGAATCTGATAATATTTAACTAAAAAATAAGTATAATATTATTTATATATTTATACATATATTTAAATAAGATTATAAGATTAAAATAATTTAAAAGATTAATAAATTGATAATTTAATATAAGAAAAAATAAAAAATGAGTAATAAAATGATGACCTACGTGATTAAATAATCCAAAAAATAAAAGAAAACGAAAAACTTCTTTTATAATATTAATAACTAGAAAATGATTTTGAAAATCTAATCCCTTTAAAAGCCGAAAACGATTTAAAAAGTGACTAAATATTGAATTTATAGAAAAGCTTAGAAGAATATAAAAATTCTTTTCAAAATTAACAAAAGAAATTCGATCAAATTAAAAGCTTAAACGACAAATGTAGATAATTAGAAAATTCTATATTAAACCATACAGATGAAATAGATATTTTAAACTAAAAAATACACTAAATGTTATAAGAAGATAGTGAAAATAAACAAATTATAAGTGATTTAAAATTAATTGCTTTTTAGAAAAAATAATTAGACTAAATATTATAAAAACAGGAAGAAGAGAATAAAATAAATACATAAAATTTATAAAATTTAATAGATTAAAAAAATAATGTTATCCAAGATTTAAAAGAATAAATAAAAAAAATGGAAATAAACATAAGTTAATTATAAAAGGGAAATTTTCAATTAAAAAACTAAATAAAAAAAGCACAAACAGAATTATAAAACATAGAAAAAATTTAAGAAAATGAAAAAAAATAAATTAAAAATCAACATGAAATACTCATTTAAGACTATGATAATAAATTGTGCATTCTTTCTTAAGAAATCGATAATTTAAATAAAATTATATGTGAAAAAATGAAAGAATTTGAATTTCTTGAATAAGAAAATAACGAATTGAATAATAATTTAACTAATCTTAAAAAAATTAATCAAAATCAAGCAAATGAAATAACTAAGTTAACCTTAAATTAATAAAATATATAAGATATAATGGATGAAATATACAAATTATAATAGATTATTTTATATTTAAAGGAAGAGATTATTTAATTAAATATAAAAATATAAGATTTAAATAAAGAAAATACTTAATATAAGTAATATGTGGTAGATTATAATGATTTAGAGTAAAAACTTTAATAATTTTAAGAATTAAATTTCGCTTTATTTACAGAAATTTAAGCTTTGAGATTAAGTTTATAGAAATAAAGATAAGAAACTAGCTAAATTAAAAAAAATTCAATGGAAATTATAAAATAATATAATTTTTGATTATTTAAATATGATTTTTTTTATATATAAAAAAATGTATTTTTTATTACATAAAAATAATAAATATTTTTTTTTTTTTTTTTTTTTTAATAATTAATTTTATTTATATTCGGATTCGGTTCTATTTTTTTTTAAAAAAATAAATAAATAAATAAAAAATAATATTTTATTAATAATAATAATTTTTTGATGATTAATAAAGTAAAATTATAATTTCATTTTAAAATATATTTTCTAAATTTAAAATAATAATTATTATATTATATTTTTTTTAAACAAAAAATACTCATTATTATTAAAACAAAACAAAAAACTAATTTTTAATTAATAAAAATTATATCATTAAAATGATATAAATAATAGGCAAATCCATTTTATTAATATTTTCCTTTGTAATAATATTCTTCTTTTCAAACGACGAAGAAGACAATTTTTGGCTTTAATCATTTCCAAATCGGATGTAGTCTTCTTTTTATCCTTGCGAAACTTACTATATATAAACAAATGACAACTACAACTTAACATTATTCCGTATATAAAAAAAATACACCTAAATATAATAAAAAGGACTCCACCCAGTACTACTAGTTCCCTTATTGACTGCTACTTCTGATGTTTTTTCAATAAATGAAGAACACCTTTCTCCTGCCTTACTTTTGGCTAATTAGGGTTTTGATGTATGGCTTATTAATAACAGAGGTACCCGATATTCTCCAAACTTTGGAAATATAACTATTCTTTCCACGAGATGGGTGTATTTGATTTACCTCCCACCTTTGCCCATATATATAATATTACAGGTTAAAAGTTAGTGCTATAGGACATTCTTAAGGCGCTATGGCCTTACTTGTGGGTTTATCGGAAAAGAAAATACCTTATACAAACCAAATAATATTATATGGGGCAGGAGCTAAACTAGTTAATGGAAAAGGACTAGTAGCGGAGTTTTTTAAAAGTGGATTAGTGGAATTCGGGTATAATTATGTAGATCATATATAGGATAAATATTAAGTATTCTACTATATATTAAAAAAAATCAGGTTTATATCTCCATATATATTTAAATGGACTACTGATTATGATGGATGTTAGTTTAATCATAAATAATCGCATGCTTTTTTAGCTTAAGTTATGTCAGGAACTTCCAGTAGAAATTTTTTGCATTTAAAATAATTAGTCAAATCACAAAAGTTCCAAAAATTCGATTTTGGAAATAAAGAAAAAAATATAGAAATTTATGGAAATGAAACACCTTAAGAATATCAAATTTAAAATATTGAAGAGAATGTACATTTATTCTATGGAGAATATGATATGCTAACTGTTTAACCTGATATTAATTGGTTATATGAAAAACTTAAAGAAAGGAAAGGTAGAAAAGTTACTTGGAATTTTTTAAAAAATAAAGGACATGCAAGCTTTGTTTTTGATGTAGATTGTGAATTTATGGATTAGATTTATTAAATTTTAAATGAATGAGATTATATATAAATATTTATAATAATATTATATATCCATAATTTAAATATATACTTATATCAAATTAATTTTATTATTTTTCTTTATTAATTAAATATGTTTTTTTTTAAATTAATTGTTTTTTTTATAATAATTTAATATTTTTATTTTATTAAAAATAGAAATTAAAATTTAATTATACCATATATTTTAATAATTATAAATATAAATTATAATAATTTAAATTTTTTAATTTATAAATAATTTTGAAATAAAAATTAAAAAACTAAATTTATTATTAATAAAAATTTAAAATATAAATATAAAATTAAAAAATATATAATATAAAACTATATATTATATATATTTATATATATATATATATATATTTATTTAAATTTAATATAAATTTTAATTTAAGTATAAATATAAATATAAGTATAAATGCATTTTTTATTTGTAATTTATTATAATACACTTTTTTAATATTTTTATTTTTTTTTATTATTTTTTATTTTATTTAAATTAAAAATATTTTTTTTTTTTATATAATTATTTAAAAATATAAATTATATATTTTTTATAATTTACAATATTTATTACTACAATTAAATATAAAAAAATATTTAAAAGATATATTATTTTTATCAATTATATTATTTTTTAAATTATTTCTTTATCTTTATTAAAATTTAAGTATTATATATAAATTTATTTTAACTATTTTTATTTTAATAGTTTTAATAATATAAATATATTTATTATAAGTTATATTTAAAAAAAATTATAATTAACATAAAATATAAAAACTAAAACTACTAATATTAAATATTTAAATATATATTATTATTTTTAAGAAAATATAAAATTATACTATAAAAAATTAGATAAATGTAAATATATTATTATAATATATAATTTAAAAAAAGTAGAATATTTATTAAAAATAACATATTCAAAGATATAATAAAAAAAATTAATAATAATATATATATATATTTATAAAAAAAATGTATATATATAAATATATATATATATATTTATATTTATATATTTATATTTTAATATATTTATTTTTTTATTATAATGAATTTTCATATATATTTTTATATAAATTAAACTAATATTCATAAAAAAAAATATATTATAAATAATTTTAATTACTTTGCATTTACTTAAAATTTTTTTTTAACAAAAAAATTACTATAAATTTAATAAAAATTATATTTAAAAAGCTTAAAAAAATAAACAAAAAACAGAAAATATATATAAAAAGCAATTTTATTTATTTTTTTTATATCATTAAAAAAATCCAGCAACACTAATTTAGGTTTTTCCTTACTTATTTTTTTTCTTATTTCCAATAAATCCTAAATTTTTAATATCATTTTTATCAGTTTGATTATTATTAGTAGGTCCTTCCCACATATCAACTTATTATTATTAGACTTATTATTTAAAGATAGGTTATTATTATTTTTATTTTTACATTTATTCAATTTCTTATTAATTAAATATTTATTATTATTTTTCTATTTTTAAATTATAAATATTAAAAGTATATAAATTAAAAAAAAATATATAAAATGAAGAATATATAATTATAAATATATAAATTTATTATTAATAAACATAATTTTATATATATATATATAATTTAATTTATTATTTTATATATTTTACTTGTCGGTACTGTATAAGGTTCTACTTTTTATCCTCCACCTAAAGTAGGGAATTCTTCTTTTAAAATTTGGTTTACTCTTACTTTTTAATCTTTAGATTCATAAATGAATGGATTTTCGTTACTTTTTTACCAATCATTTAAAGTATTTATTTTTTTATTTTTTTCTTTTGTATTCATAGGCTATTATGTCGGTAAAGAAGGATCAGGTTATTATTATATAACTGTTTTTTATATTTTTATTGGATTATTATTATTAATGGCAGGGAAATCATAAATATTCTAAGTATCGATTTCTACTGTTTTTTTTTAATTTCCTTTCTACTAAATTATTGCCGTGTTTACTTTTTATTCTTCTTCTTATTCTTACTCCAATATTTAATCGTCTTGAGAATAGTATTTATTATATATATCTTAATGTTATTCAAAATAATCTTTAAGAATATTAACAGACAATTAATTTTTTTCTTTATGAATATCTTTTCCCTATAATAAATCATGACAATAACTCCTTTTTTTTTATTTTTACAAAAATAAATAAATGAAAATTATAATAAAAAATACACATAAAGATATAAATGAAGAAATTCATGATTAGGTATTTCCTTAAAAAGTTTCTGAATTTAATTAAGATCCGAAAAAAATACTTTCCTTAAAATAAACGATATTTTCTCAACTGAGACTCCAAAATTAGTCACAAACTTAAGTTTAGCCATTTCTTTAGTTTTGATTCTTCTTAAAATCTCAATAAGTTAAAATCTTCTCGATCTTTCCATTTTTAAAGCTTTCGCGTTTAATTTTAACTCCTAATTAACAATTCTTTCAGTCAATTAATTTTCTAATTCGCTTCTAAACAAAGTAAAGAATTCTTTATATGTATTTGAGCTATTAATTAGAGTGTTATGCTATTTTAAATAGTGAGATAATAAGACATATAAATATGAATATATATATATATATATATATATATATATATATATATATATATATTTATATATTTATATATTTATTTATATTTACTTTTTTAGCTAATTTTTTTACTTCACTAATATAAACTTCATCTAATTCTTTTTATAAAACTTCATATTTAGTATTATTTAAACTTGCAATAACTAGCGGAAGCACTCTCAAAGCAATATTTTTTCCACATAGTCTTTCAAAGACTTCGAAATATTACTAAGCACTACATTTTTTCTTTTACATTTAATGTTAAGCATCTTCTAATTATTCATATTTTTCCTAATCGCATATAAGTCCTAGTTTATCTAAAATATTATCATTATTAATTCCATGAATTTAATAATATCTTAAAAGTGGTATATTTTCCAAATAAAGTACTTCGTTTTATGAGCTTTTTTTTCTTACAAATTATTAATTATTCCTATTTCTATTATTTCCTTTGTTATTATTATTCCCATAATTATCATTATAATATTATTAAAGGATTTCCTGTTCTTCTTTTTAATATCTTTCATCATATTTTTAACAATAAAAATCTCTATAATCTATTTTTTCATCTTCATGAGAATCTACAGTAGTTGTTTTCATCTTAGTTTTTCTCAAAGATAAAAATTAAGCTTCGAAATTAACACCTTCCTTATCTTTTATCATACCATCTCTTGTTTTAAATTTAGATTCTCCTTACTATCCATATTCGAATCCAGTTAAAACCTAAATATTCATTTAACTATTTATATATTTAATATATAAAAAAATAAACAATAATTTATAATATATATTTACTTTAAAGCCACTTTTTTAGATGATTAATGATTATGTACTTTTATATTATGAGCTTCTAAATCAACTGATGTTTTAAAAGCAGTGAAACATTTTTCTTAACATGATTTTTCTTCACATATATAATGAGATATTCTAAAATGTTTCTCAAGTGCTTAATAACTTTTATAAAATATATATTTATAATCAGGACCACAAATAAAACATGTGAAATGATCAGGCATATGTTTTACTAACGATTCTTCATCATAAAAGTATTTTAAACAAAACTATTATTATAAATTAAAAATTAATTATTTATATTTTTTACAGAACAATATGGATGGAAAAAATAAACATTTCCTTCTTCATCAAAATCACCTTTTCTAGTGTGCTTTTCTAAAGCTGTTGAATTATATAACTTTTATTCTTATAAAACACAAGTTTTAAATTCAACACATATATCACTAATTAATTTTATATAAATAAAATAAAAAAATAATTGTATTAATATATATATTTATATATATAATTTCTTATATATCTATAAATTTTAATTTACCATAAAAATCTTTAATGTCTATCTTTTAGGTGCTTTTTTAAAGTACTTATATTTTAAAAAACTGTATCTTCTTCTTTACATCCTGGTGCAAAACATCTTATTTCAATTAGCTTTAAAAGCATATCATATATTTCTTATGTTTTAGCATATAGACCTTTCTTTTCCTATTTTTTAAATAAATTATAAAAAGAAATTATATATATATGTATATATAATAAAAAAATATATAAATAAAATATATAATAATATATATATATATTAATGTATTAATATAATAAAATATTAATATATATATATATATATTTTATTTTTCTTAATTTAAATTTTATATTTTATTTTATAAAATTATATATAAATACAATATAATTATTTGTTTTTAAAATAGTTTTTAAAATTATTTATATATTTTATATAAATTTATTTTTATCATATATTTTACATCAAATGGAATTAAATAATCTAAATCATATGATGAAAAGTCATTTTGCATATTATCAGAAACAATAATTATTTAATTATTTTTCTTTTTTTATTTATATAATTTATTATAGTTTTTATATTTAAAATTAATTTTTACATTGCATAAAGGACATGATTAATTATCTGTTATATACCTCATTTTAAATTAACATTTATAGCAAATTTCTTTGTGATTACATTATCCTATTCCTACAATTTTAATTTCATCATAACATAAAACACACTCGTGCATTATTTTTTTTTAATTTTATAATTTTTTAATATTTTAATTTTTCTTTATTAAATTATTATTATTGATATATTTTTGTATTCTTTAAATTAAAAATTAATCTATATTTCAATTAAATTAAAAAAGAATGCATGGATATATGTACTTTTAAAATATATATATATATATATATATATATATATATATATATATATATATATATATATATATATTTATATATATTTATATATATTTTCTTTATTTATTATTAAAATCTTAAAAGATACATAATATAAAATAAATTATAATAATTTATTTTTAAATAAAAAATAGAAATTATTTATATATTTATTTAATATTATTTTTTTATAAAAAAATAAAACAAATTTAAATAATAATTTCAATTTGTTTAAAAAATAATTAATAATAATTAAAATTTATATATATTAAAATAAACAATAAGATCTTTTAATTATTTATATGAAAATATGCCAAAAATTTAAATAAAATTTCATTAAATATTCACATTAATTAAACTTAAAATATATTAATCAAAAATTTAATCTAAATTTTATTATAAATTATCTTCCAAAAATCCATTAAAGCATTTTCCAATAAATTTTTAAGCTTTATCATCTATGTATTTATTATATAAATAAAAATATTTTTTATCTTCCTTTTTTTTGATTTCATTTTAAAAATAATTTCCAAAACTTCTTATATTTTCTAAATTATAATATTTTTCTCGATTCTACAATACTTTATCAAAATCTTTAAAAATTGCCTTAGATTTAAACCTGTCTTTATCTTTAATATCTTTTCCATTAAACTTACTTATTAACGGGAATCTATAAACAACAAATTCCTACAAAAAACTGCATTTATTAATGAAATTATTATCTAAATTTAATATTTTTAAATTTTAAAACACTTCTAATTAAGTTAATTAAAGTAAAGAATGTATAAAATTATCTTTTAAACTAATTTCTTTAATTTTTTTAAAAGACTGTAGTTATTAAATTATTTTAAATTCACAAATATTATCAAATAATGCATATTATATTTAAATTTTTTCTATATTTTATTAAAATGAAGGATTATATAATACTATTTCATATGCATTTCCATAAATAAATAATTAAAGTTTTTCATTTTCTGAATTTACTATAATATCATAATGTCCTCCTTCAACTTTAAATAGTTCTTTTTTTATTAAAAAATCTTAATTTTACTTTATTTTAACTTCCCATTATTCCTTTATTAAATAAATAACTTTTTCCCCATTTTAAATTTCTTTTTGTTCTTCATTTTTTGAAATTTTCCTTTCAGAATTTATCTTTTAATTATCACTATTTATTTTTAAATTATCACTATTTATCTTTTAATTATCACTATTTATCTTTTAGTTATTGCTATAAATCTTTTAGTTATCAATATTAATCTTTTAATTTTCACTATTTATCTTTTAGTTATCACTATTTATCTTTTAATTGTCGCTATTTATCTTTTAAGTGTCGCTATTTATCTTTTAATTGTCGGAATTAATCTTTCTATATTAAATTTCTTCTTTTAATTATTAAATTTAAAACCCATCAATCATATTTATTTATAAAGGAAGAAATTCCAATAAATTTTAAATATATTCGACTCGATTTTTAAATTAAAAATTACCTTCTAAATCTATCTCATTTAGTTTATTTAAATGCTAAATATCATGTATTTTCTAAAAAGACTTTATTTTGTTTTAAGAGATATCTATTTTTTGTAATTTATGAAGATTATTTATATTCTAAACTACTTCAATTTGATTATTTTTTAAGTTTATTTCCATTAAAAATATATTCTTGTTCAAGTTTTCGATTTTCGATATTAAATTTGAGGCTAAATTAAGCACTTTTAACTAACTACATTTATTAATGTTTTCAATTTTTTAAATTTTATTAGTATTTAAGTCCAAAACTTCCAGAAAACTCAAATTTTCTATTCCTTTGATTTTTTGTATTTAATTTTTAGCTAAAATCAACACTTTTAATTATTAAATAGAATTCAAATTTTCGATTTCTTTAATATTATTTTAACTTAAATCCAAAAAAATTAAATTCGGCAAAGAAACTAAATTTTCGATTTTCATAATATTATTTTTTTAATAATTTAATATATTTAATCTTTCTTCTCCTTCTAATAAAGGAATATGTGTTAATTATATATTTTCCAAATTAAATTTTTCAATGTTATTTTCTCTTTCTATAGGACGTCTATAACAAATCCAAATACCTGGAATTAAAGGTAATTCGCAAAAGATTACATTTCCATTTTCTTCTATTTGTTTTAAATTCCCATGCTTTAATAAATATCGAAAACGTTCATCTTTTTCGTTCATTATTTATTCTGAAAATTCGCTTATGCATTAATTTTATGAAATCAAATTATTTTTTGATTAAGTATATTAAGTTTGCTCGGATTTGCGGTAAGAAATATTATGGGAATTAAAAGGTAATTTTTAAGGCAAAGGTGGTAAACTGTATATATAAATATAAAAATATATATATATTTTATTATAAATAAATATAAATATATATATATATTTATATATATATATATATATATATATATATATTTATACGTTTGTTATTTTGTTTATGTTATTTTTGTTTCTTCTTATAGAATATTTTTTATATTTCTTTTTTTTTATTTTAGTTATAATAACATGTTTTTTTTACATTATTTAATCGTTTTTGTTTATGTATTAAGTAGTTTGTTTGTATTGTTAATATTTTTAATCATTATTTTAATATTTTTTTTTAACTATTACATAACGTTTAATTAAAGGAGTTGATTAATTAAAGATTTTTTAATTATTTGCATTGATTATTTAATAGTCTTTCATATAATATATATTACTTGTTATGAATTGAAAATAAATAAAACAAAATATTTATTTTTGTTTAAAATCACTTTTTTATTATTTTTATTATAAATAATTATATATTAAATGGTAATTTTTTATTTTTTTAGAATTTTAATAATAAATAATAAACTATATTATTAATATATAAATAATTTTATTGAAACGACTTTAATTTATTTTATTTTATTAATAAAAAAAATGAATATATATTTTATAAAATATTAAGTTTTATTATATAAATTCCAATTAAACAGAAAACAATAAAAAATTATAATTAATTAAATATTAAAAATTTAACAATTTCAAGATATTAATTATTATTTAATAATATTTTATTATATTAACAAATTTATTTTTATAATAAATTGATTTTTTTATAATAATAATTCTATTATATATAATAATAAAAAGTAAATGTTAAATACACGCCCATTAGGTTATTGGTAAAACAAAACCGAAGTATATAAATTAGCAAAAGATAAAATAAAATCTAAAAAAGACAGGTAATTTTCTATTTTTATTTTTCTAAAAAAAACACAATTAATTATTCGTTTATTTATTTAGATTTAAAAAAAAAAATCACTCGATTTCAGATAATGAATCAATTTCTAATTCTAATGGAAGTTAAACAAAATCATATTATGTTTTTAATAAATTTATATAAGATTAAAATATTACTTTTATTTAATTTTTTTATAAAAAAAAAATGCATTTTATATAAAAAAATAAAAAAATATATATTATAAAAAACAAACAAAAAAGATACCATTAAAAAATAATTACTAAAATAAGCTGAATAAATAGCCATAGAAATCAATTTTTAATAAAATTAATAAGAATATGAATAACTCCCGGAGTGGGTTACAATACATAATGATACAATAAATTTAATGAATGAAATTACATAAATAAGTAAAAAAAAAAAAATATTTATATAGAAATAATTAGTTAAATATAAAAAGAAAAAGAAATATAGGCATTAAGTAAAATAAGAATTACATAATAATTTAATAATAATAATGAAAATGATTAAAAAATAAATAATTTAGCTAAATAAGCTGCAAAAGTATATATAAAAAAAAAACAATAAATATAAATTATATAAATAAATAGAAATTAAATGAATGTTAAAATAACTTAAAAAAAATGGATTAAATTTCTTCATATGACAATAATTAAATGAGCAAAAAAAGTTAGTCATAAAAAATAAAAATTGATTAATAATATTATTTTATAAAAAAAAAAGTAAGAAATAATATAAAAAGATCATTAGCTTAATAAATATAAGATCATACAGTAGATTTAAGAAGATAATAAAAATCTCTTTATAATTAATTAAAAAAATACGAAAATGTGGGAAAAGATGGAAATTTACATATGTAAGATCCTACAGCTTTATATGACGAAAATAATTAATGTTAAGATTAATAAGACGATATGTGGGAAAAAATTGCTTAAGAAAGGTTATATAATACTTTATTTAAAAATCAATTATTATTATTTTATTTTTTTAGAAATGAAGAAATAAATAAATTAGTAGAAACAATAAATGAACTTTCTTCTATATTTTAATAACTTGGGAATTTAGTTATTGAATAAGGATCTTTATTAGATAGAATAGATGTTAACATAACAGATATAAAATAAAATGTTTAAATATCCAATAAACAATTAAAAAGGGTTATATATAAATATTTATAGTTAAAATTATTTATATTTATATTTATATTTATATTTATATTTATATATTATATATATATTATATTTTTATATTTATATATTAAGGCTTTAGAATATTAAGAAAGTCCTATGGCAAGAAAGTGCATAAATCTTCTTATTTTTTTAATAATATTTTTTTGTTTTGCTCTAGCTATGAAATATTCTATTTGATTTTCTTTTTTTGTAAAAATCTCAAATATATTTTCTAATTAGTATATATGTTTTTATTTAGATAAAATAAATTATTTTTATTAAACTTTTAATTATTAACTTTTATAATAATGAAATTTTTAACTTTTATAAAAATGAAATTTTTAACTTTTATAAAAATGATTAAAATTAAAAATAATCAAAAATATTCTATTTTTTTTATATTATTTTTATTAAATTAAAAACAAAGATAATTTTAATATATATATTTCTCCCTTTCACAAATCATCTTTTTTACTTTAGAAAACATTTCCATTTAACTACTCGTGCATATTTTTGAAACTACCTCCTCCTCCCAAAATATCATCTACGAAAATTTTTAAATTCTCAATATTAAAAGTTTAATTATATTTCGTAATTTTATTTCTTTTTCCTTTAACAATAATTAACATTGGAGTTTATTTGTTGTCGTCATCTTCACTTTCATAAATATTATCGAGTTCAATATTTTTTATATCTATATAAAAAAACTTCAATTTTGACCCTATGTAATTTTCAGCTAATTATTCAAGTAATTTTTTACATATTTATTCATTACTTTCATCATAAATACCAATTAAACACATCGAAGTATCATTATTACCACAATTAGTCTATGAAGTTAATATATTGGGAGTCAAAAGTTTAACTTCAGAAGGTTTTTGTGCACTTTTATTAGCACTTTTAGTCGTATAAGCATATTCCCTTAAGAATTTTTTAATGAAATCTTTCTTATATGCCCCTTCGTATTTGACTCCTATATAATTATCATTATCAGTAAGAGCTAAAATAGTCGGAAAACTAACAACTTTGAATTTATTTACTAAACTTGATTCACTTTATCTAATTTCTCCAAAAACCAATTTCCCATTCATTTCTTTTGAAAGAGCCCTAAATAAAGGCGGAGTTGATTTTTTAGATGTGAAAAGTAAAATTATATTCTTATCCTAACTTTCATTAATAAATTCCTAATAATTCGATTCTCTAACATTCCTGACATAACTTTCCATAAAAGAAACTGCAAAATTAGCCAATTTTTAAATATCTTTCATATTCCCTTTATAATCATGCCCTTCGGATCTTATATTGGCCGCAAAAACCTTAATTTTTGGTGATTCGAAGACCTAAAATTCATCCTCACATAAAGTATCTTCTTCAATACAGTCTATTGAGGCTATTTTTAGTATTCCGTAAAATTTAGAGGCTAATTCTTTATATGAATCTTATAATTCAACGGATTATTTTTGGTTAGATTTATAAAATAAAATCACCCAAACTTCTTATCGTCTTAAGAATTTCGATAAGCCACCCATATCAAGTTCATATACATCAGATTTATCGAAAATATTACTTCCTCCTTATTATTATTACTAAAATCCACCACCTCCTCCGCCTCCGAAATTAAACTAAAATCCACCTCCACCACCACCACCACCTCTTCCGAAAAATTAACTGAAAATATCGTCAAAACCAGCTCCTTAATTCCTACTTTGTTATTATTAACCATGTTATTTTAAACCTTCTTCCCCATATTAATCATATATCCTTTTTTATTCAGGATCTTTTAATACTTCGTAGGCTTCAACAATCTTTTGAAATTGGGCTTCGGCAGCTTTTGGATTGCCTTTATTTTTATCAGGATGGTATTTCAAAGATAACTTTTTAAATGCCTTTTTTATTTATTATTCATTGGCGTTTCGGGGTAAACCCAAAACTCGATAGTAGTCAGTTCCACAAATGGAGATATCGATTAAAATTAATAATATAAATAAGATTATATGTATGATTTTTTTCATATTTTTTTAATTTTTTTATATTTTTAGTTTTGTATTACTTTTTTTTTTTTTTTTTTTTTTAATTTTTTTTTATTTTAAAGGAAATTGATATATAATTTTTTATTATATATTTATATAACACGTGTAAAAAACATATTTTTTTTTTTTACCATTAAAATATTAAAAAAATTAAATTTTTTTTTTTTGGGTTTTTTTTTTTTTTTTTTTTTAGAAAAATATAAAAATTAATTTATTATATTTTTATTTTTATCTTATTTTTTTTTATTCTTCCTAAATTTATTTTATATATATAAAAATTTTATATATGAAATAATTCTTCTTTTTTTCTAAGTATTTATTTTCTTTAAAATATTTTTCGGAAAAAAAAAAAAAAAAAAAAAAAAAAACAATATTTTTATTTTTGTATTACAAAAACAAAAAAAATAATAAAAGAATCAATTAATTATTTATAATAATTAAATATAATTATATTTATTAATATTAATATAAATCATCTATTTATAATACTTAAATATAATAATATTTTTTATAATTATTATTAATGATTTTTATATATAATCATTTAAATTTAAATAAAAAAAAATTACTGTTATTATTTAATTAAAAAAAAAAAAAAAAATGTTAAGAAACCGAAATAATTTTTCAAATATATTAGATAAATAATCTTTAAAAAACACAAACAAATATATATCCCAATCTCCGATTTCGAATAATTCAATATCTTAAAAACACAAAGAATATTCAAAATCAAAAACTTAAAATAGTATATAACGACAATAAATTACTTATTATTATAATAAATAAAAAATAGAAATTAATAATAGTTTTAATATAAAAAATTAAGAAAACATAGAATATTATAAAAATATAATGCAAATAAAAAAAAGGAAATATAAAATAAAAAACAGAAGAAAAAACCGGAAATATAAACATAAATAATTCATCTAAAAACACAAAAAAAAAAAAAGAAGAAAATATATATATTTTTAATAAAAAATAAGAAGAAGAAAAAAAACGAAAAAACTTTAAATAAAAATAAACTTTTAATATTAACAAAGATATATTTGTATTGAAAAAAACAATAAAAACTAAATATTACATAGTGAAAATTAATATATACAAGAAAAATATAAAAAAATAATTATGTTGTAAATGAATAATAAAAGTATTCAACATATAAAAATGAAAATCTAGAAAATAATTAATTATCTAAGTAATCATTTAAAACAAATAGCTTTATATAAACTGTAAAAAAAAAATATATACATAAATAAAAATATATAAAATATATATATTATATAAATATATATAAAATATATAAATATATAAATATATAAATATATAAATATATATAATTTTATCTAAAAAAAAAGTATGCTGTAAATACAATCTAAGGATAAATAAAAAAATATAACGATGACCGTGTTTCTATAATCTTAAATATAAATAAACCATAATCTTGTAAAAATAAAATAATAACCAAAATGTTCATTTTTCTGTGTATATAACGGTCACAATGGAGTTAATTATGCTGATTTTTTAAAATATAATTTACATTAATATGTAAAAAAAAATATATATAAAAATAAAAATATTTAAATAGACATACAAATAAATAATTCCAAATATATATATATATATATATATATATATAATAAATATATATATTTATATATATTCATATTATATATATAAATTTATATATATATATATTATAAGGTAATTCAATAATCTTCTTTTCCTTAAAATCCTATAGATGCTTTAATATAAGGTTTCGATTAATGTGAATAAGCATTTTCATAATTAGATTTAAATAATGCAAACTAAATTGATAGAAGTGGCTCATGTGCATTAGTTCTTTTAATTGTTGGCGAAATTATCTATGTTGCTAATGTGGGAGATTCAAGGCCTGTTTTAAGTGTAAAATTTGGATAGAAAGTTAGTTCTTTATTAAAAGATCATAAACCGGATTAAGAATATGAAAAAAACCGGATTTTATAAGCTGGAGGTAGAATATATTATTAAAGTAAATTTATTCTTTTTTTTTATTGAGAAAAATATATAATAGATCATAATAATAGAAATAATAGAATATTATTCTTGGCCCCTATAGGGTTGTTCCAGGTAGGTTTTCTGTATCTAGAACTTTTGGAGATATTGAGGCTAAATTCGAAGCTTTCGGGGGTAATCCTTATGTAATTATTTGCGAACCGGAAATAAAATGTTTAAAAATTTAGGATGATTTTGATTTTATTGTCTTAGCAAGTGATGGGATTTATGACAAAATGAGCAGTAAAGAGGTTATATAAGTGGCTTGGAATAAATATTTAGAAATAAATGAATATAATATGCATAAATAAGTCGTTTTTATAGTAAAAAGTGTAATAAAAGAAGCTTTAAATAGAAAATCCTATGATAATTTGACTGTATTATTGATTGCTTTTGATAACTTTAAAAAACAAGAAAATGAAAGAAAAGAACATAAAACTTTATAAAATGATTTTGAGTATTATAAAATAAATAGTTCATATTTCATGGAAAATAAATAAATTAAGAAAAGTAATTAAAAATCATATAAGTAAATGGACTTTATAGAAAAATTAAATTATATTTTAAACATAAAAAAAAAATTATGAATTATTATATTTTTATTAAGTATTTATTTAATATTAACTAAAAATATTTATTTTTTGTTTTTAAATTTTGTTTTTTAATAATAAAATAATTTTAAACTAAAATAAAAAATTTAATAATCTTCTAATCATTATTATTTTAACATATTACTTCCTATAAAATATATATATATATATATATATATATAAATATATATATATATATATATATATATATATATATATATATGTATTTTATAAATATAAATATTTATATAATACCTCTTGCACTATATTCATCTTCTAAATCTTGCCAATTTTCAAGTATTTATTCAAATTATTCGAACATCATTGAATGTGTTAATCTTATTCTACGTGGACCCCATTCGTGAGTATAATTTCTATGTGCAAAACTAACTTCACACATTCTATTAATATGTACTCCCCAACTAAAATAATTTAAAATATTATATTAAATTTTTTTTAATAATTTATTAATACTAATAATGAGGTAACCATATAAATGATGCAATACCCTTTTTTAATTATTATAATTATGATATTTTTATATACTTATATTTTTTTAATTTTTACTAATGATAATTTTGCTTCTCTGGCTATATATTCATCATAAAGTGATCTATACCACCAATATCTATTTCTAAATAAAACACTTCCCATTTTATATAGATTTTTTTTTCTATAGTCTTAAAATAAATATATATATATATATATAAGTATATATATATATATATATATATATATATATATATATATATTTTTATATGTTTTTTATATATTTGTGTATATTAAAATAAATTAAAATAATTAATTTAAGTAATATTTTTTTACTTTATTTATAAATAAAATATTATAATTTATTTATTTTTTTATAATCTAGAAGAAAAAATAATTTTTAAATAATAATTTATAAAAATTATAAACACAAAAAAAAAAAAACATTTAAAAAAAATAAATCTTTTTTAATTCTTTTAAAAAAAAAATATATAAAATAATATAAAAATGAATAAATAATAATTTTAATACTAATAATAACAATATAAATAATAACACTACTTATAATACTAGTATTAATCCCGAAGCGATATTCGTCAAAATAACTAAAATTATAATTATAGGCATTATTAAAATTAAGATTATTAAAAAATTACCGAAACCTATTCTTAAAATAGAAATAACTTATAATAATAAAAAAAACAAATAACTATAAAAATTGCCACATCTACTTAAGTATCTAAAGTATATACTTATTGTTTAAAAATTCTATATGAATCTCCCCTAAATGAAATATAGATTATTTCAGCCGGTAATACTATTAAAAAAGCTGTATTATTAGCTGAAATTTTAAAAAGAAGGGTAGTTGATTTAAAATAATTAAATTATGTGAAATCTGAAAAAAGTACTTAATAAAATAATAATTAATAGAAACTTTTGATACTTTTCTATATTGTTCTTACTACTTAGTAATTAGATAAAAAACATTATGGATATTAAGAACCGGTTCCTTTAGATTAAGTAAGAGAAATAAAGCATGTATTTGATTAGAATTAATAATATTATTAAGGAGAAGATTAGAACTGGAATTAAAACAGATAATTTAAAAAAAATAGAGGAGGTTGTAAATAATCTCATATATGTTATCAAGACTAAGAAAGAAATAATAACGATTTAAACGAAAATTATACTAATAGTGAAAAATATTAATAAAATCATTATTAAAATGAAAAGAACTTAAATAATTATTAGAATTAAAAGTACAAATAGAATGATAAAAATTATAATGAAAATAGTTTTTAATATGAAAAACATTAAAACGAGAAGAGTTAATAAAAAGAAAGAAATTAGTACTAATAATAGTAATAAAATGTAAGAAATTAAAAGGAATAATAATATGAAAGAATTTAATAATAATAATTTAATATAAATGATAAAAATATATAAAATTAAAAATATTATATTTAAAATGATGAAATTTATAATGAATATGAAGGAACTTAATATAATTAAAACTAAAGAAATTATAATCAAAATGAGAAAAACAATTATTAATAAAAAAGTTAATACGATGATACAAATAATTATATGTAATTAAAAGATAAAGAATATAATTATTAATAAAAAGAAAAAGGAAATTAAAGTATAAATTAATATAATGAAAGAAGTAATTACAATAAAGGACAGAATTAAGATAATGAAAGAGGAAATTAAATTAGATATTAATAGAATAATATTAATGAAAGAAATAATTAGAATAAAGATAATAATTCATAATAAGAATATTATTAAAAAAATTAATAATAATAACATATAGTTGATAAATAATAATATTAATAAAATTCTAAATAAATCTAATACGATTAAAAATAAGTTGAAAATTAAAAATATAAAAGAAATTATGGGGAAAATATAAAAAATAAAAAAGAATAAAATAAAATAATGAATAAATTCTAAAATAATATAAAAAATGAATAGAAATCTAATTATAAAAGAAATGACAATGAAAGTGAATAAGAAGAATAATAATTATTAAAATAACAATAATAACAACAATAATAACTGTAAAATTACAAATAATAAAAATAATAATAACAACCAAAATAATATCATTAATAATAGTAAAAATAATAACAATAGTAAAAATAATAAAAATAATAATAAGAATAGACATAAAAATAAAAGTAACAATAATAATAATAATAGTAACAATAATAATAATAATAATAGTATAAATAATAAGAATAATAACAAAAAAAATATTAATAACAATAATAGTAATAATAACAATAACAATAACAATAACAATAACAATAACAATAACAATAACAATAACAATAACAATAACAATAACAATAACAATAACAATAACAATAACAATAACAATAACAATAACAATAACAATAACAATAACAATAAATACAATAATAATAGTAATAATAATAATAATAATAATAATAATAATAATAATAATAAAAAAAAAAAAAAAATAAAAAAAAATAATAAAATATTAGAAATGAACTTTAAGAATAAAATATTAAACCTAAAAATTTTTACGTAGAAAAAATTTAATAATGATTATTTTAAAAATATTTAAAAAATAGATATTAATAATATTTTCAAATAATTTATTTTATATTTTGATTAAAATTAAAATACATATTTTTATATAAATTAATTAAAATAATCATATTTTTTATATTATTATATGTTAAAACATATATATTAAATATTAAAATCTTTATTTTTTAAAAAAATAAAATAAAATGGAAATTGAATTAGAAGAATAAAAAAATAATTGTTTTACTTACGAAATTTAGTCTAATTGTGATATTCAATGGACTTTCGATATCAGAAAATAATTAAAAAAACTTAATAAAACAGACGAAAACAACCAAAACTTAGAACTTATACTTCAAGAAGCTATAAACAAGCTCGAAAATATTTACTTCGAATCGAATAATATCTAAAACTAGTCAAAAAACGAGAAAAAAAGAATAAAGTGCATACGAAAAATGGCAGAAAAAACTTTAAAAACATTAAAATTGAAATTATCTGATATATCTAAAGAAGTTTTATAAAAAACAAAAAAATTAAAAAAATAATAAAATACTTATAATTATATATAAATTATATAAGCTAAAAGAGGATAAAAATACATTGAAATTATGGTTTAGAAAAAAACTAGAAAACCAATAAGATATATAAAGAATTTTAGAAAAATGTTAAAAATGGATATATAAAAAATTAGTAATAAATAACATAAAAATATTAAATATATATAAAAATAAACAAATATACATAAACATATATTTAAATAAAAATAATATATATAATATATAAATATAAATAATGTTTTTATTTGTATATTAGTAAAATATTACATTTGAAGATTTCCTTAATATAGTAAATAGATATACTAAAAGTAAATTAAAAGAAGATGCTAAAAGGGAAAAAGTAGACGATTTTACTACTTTATAAAGGAAAACATATGTTTTATTTCCAACCCCTCCTGGTGAGTTTTACAATGGTAAGAATTAGATAAATAATACAGGCGAAAATTTGAATAATTAGTTAATTTAAATATAGAATTGGATTTAAATGTTAATAAGTATAGGGAAAACTAGTAAATATTTTAAGATAAAATAGTTTGGGACATTAATTTCACAGATCAAAAATTTATTTTATAGCATGCATATCATTATATAAGGGATATTTTGATTTAAAATGATATATAAAATATTACTAAAGATAAAATATAAGAATTATAATTATCTGTATATGACCAAATAATAGAATAACTATATGAAAGAAGAATAATTCTTGAAAGTTCGAAAAGTCTAGTATAATTTAACTGCTCAGATATGATAAATAATTAAAAAGAATATATTATAAATATAAATATAATTATTAGAAATAAAAATAATTAAATAATACACAAAGAAACAATAGAATGGGATATTATGTGTGACAATAATAGGTATAATTATTAATATCATTATAAAAAAAAATATAAATTTAAAATATATTAAGATATATATAAATATAAATGTATAAATGTATAAATCTATAAATGTATAAATGCATAAATGTATAAATATATAAATGTAAAATGTATAAATGTAAAATATATAAATGAATAAATGTATAAATGAATAAATTTATAAAAGTATAGATATATAATAGTATAAATGTATATATAAATACATATATATACATATATATATATATATATATATATATATTTAATTATAATATACTATTATATATATTTTATTCATAATATTTATTCATTTTATTATATATAAATATATTAATTTTATATTATATTTATTTTATTTATATTTTTTTTATTATATATATATTTTACGTATTTTTCATATATT